TAAAAAGTGATATTTTCGACTTCTTGTTAAAAACTGTAAGTCCGATTGCTTTGATACTATTCATATTGTTCATTTTCTAATGATGTCTTCAGTTCTTTAATTGCCATGTGCATTGCTAACAGCGGAGCTATCTCAGCCGATAGGCTGCTTGTTTTGACTTCTTGTTGAAAACCGCAAGTCCAATTGTTTTGATACATGTATTACATATATAGGTACTACATATGGACCTCTCTCAGATTTGTTCATTTTCTAATGATATCTTCTGTTCTTTAATTGTCATGTGCATTGCTAACAGCAGAGCTATCTCAGCCGACAGGCTGCTTGTTTAATAAATTTCCACCTCCCTAGCTTTCAATGTTACTGATATGCACCTCTCATTTTTAATAGCAAGTAGTACTGACTTGGATCTAGATCTCATTGTAAGCAGCAGTCAACTCAGCAATGCTGCTGCACTGCATAAACGATCGGTTGCACCAAAGGCACGTCGCGCATCAAGTAGAAGCCGGCTATCACAGGTAAGCATAAGGGATTGTACCCGCTATGAAAACAAAGTAAATGAGTTAGTTGAACACTAGAGGGCAAAAGTACATAAATCTCTGAATAGTTTTTCATTAGAGTGACTGAGTTAATGTTTGGGTGAATGCCACCAATTGAATGAAAGGAACACATTTTTGTATATTTAATTAACTAAAAAAGAGTGATTTGACAGGCCAAATCCACACACAAACATTATTTCGCTTTTGCCAATATACAAACCAGCAGCCTCTTCTTACACAGCTTATGTACCTTATGTACCATAAATGTTATGAACCACAAATAAGATCATATCATTGGCTGACTAGGCCCATGTGACCCGTGTGGCCCATCATGCCTCAGTAATATGTTATTTTTACAGAGATCTGTAGTGTCCCAGTCAGGGCTATCAATTACTTCTGAAAAGTTGGAAGATATTGCAGAGAATCCCAAGTCAAGAACACCACCTCATGTTAGCACTGAACACATAGCGAAAAAGGACAGACCTCCTTCAGTGGAGATTTCTAGAGGTAATGAATAACAAGCAATTTAATTGGTTGGGTACTATGGGAGTTGGGCAATGTGGACCAATCAGAAAATATTTTACATACTTGTGTTACTTATATACATGTGTTCGGTTGTAACAAATTATCTCATTGGTTATTGCTTTGAGTTGCACAATAAACAGATTCACTATTGAAAGACAATGATGTATTGTTTTTTTTTTGTCAGAAATAAAAGAAGTGAAATCAATTAGTATTTCATCAACACAGGAGAAGGAAAATGAGAAAATAGTGAAGATGGAAAGACCTTCGTCAGTGGAGATTTCTAAAGGTAAAAACATTTACAATTAACAAATCATTGGTTGGGTACTCTGGGAGTTGTGCAATGTAGACCAATCAAAAAATATTTTACTTACTTGTGTAACTGACTTAGATGTGTTCAGCAGTTGTAACAAATTACCTCATTGGTTAGGGATTTGAGTTGCACGATAAACAGATTCACAAAAGACAATAATGTATTGTTTGTTTTTGTCAGAAATAAAAGAAGTGAAATCAATCAGTATTTCATCAACACAGAAGAAGGAAAATGAGAAAATAGTGAAGATGGAAAGACCTTCATCAGTAGAGATTTCTAAAGGTAAAAACATTTACAATTAACAAATAATTGGTTGGGTACTCTGGGAGTTGTGCAATGTGGACCAATCAGAAAATATTACTTAGATGTGTTCAGCAGTTGTAACAAATTACCTCATTGGTTAGGGATTTGAGTTGCACGATAAACAGATTCACAAAAGACAATAATGTATTGTTTGTTTTTGTCAGAAATAAAAGAATTGAAATCAGTTTCATCAACTGAGGAAAATAAGGAAGAGAAAATCAGAGCTTCACCAGATAAGGAATTTTTATCGAGTTTCTGGCGAAAACTAAATCTAAAGATATCAAGGAGGAAACTGAGAAAGAAGAAAGACAAACATTCATCCGTGAAATAACAGTAGAGAAGAGAACTGAAACGGTTGTCAAGGGAACTAAAACAGCAGAGAAATCAGAACTTGAAAGTTTATTCCAGAAGCACGAACAAAGAAACCGTTCAGCAAGTTTTGAACCCAAGGAAATTAAAAACAGAACTGCAAATTTTGAGAAACCAGAACTGAGAAATCGCTCACTAACTCTGGAACCAGTGTCCTCTACCTCGATAGAAGATAGTTCAAATCTGAATAATGCTACACAAGAGACAAGCAAGTTTGTCAGTGTTGAAGAACACCAAGTGAAAATTGAGAGAGTTGATCCGGAAAAACAAAAGACAAGAGAAGTTATTATTGTGTCTGCCAATGATAGCTCGAAAGGAGATAATGATGAGGTAGTGACTCCAAGAAAGCGGAGATAGTCTGGGCACCGAAAATAAAACCCCTTGAACCTCTTGATGTTAGTGAAGATAAAGAAAATAAAGTTGATAAAACATCAGTTTCGCCACATATTGTCACTCCTGTAGTAGAGTCTCGTATTAAGATTCGAACATTCAGTGAAAGGGAAAGGGATTTGGGACATCTAAAGATTCGGACATTCAGTGAGAGACGTGCGTCTGAAGAGGCTTCAGATAAGGTGCCCACTTGGGTTGTCATGGCGAAACAAAAACAGCAAGAAAGAGAGAGTAAGGATGAGACAGAGCAGTCGCAGGAGAGTAAAAAAGATGGCGATGATGAACCTAAAGAAGAAGATGAAATAAAAGCAGACAAATCAGTGGTAAGCTTTCGCTAATTAATGTTCAGCTAGTTTGCGTAAGTCATAGTGTTTCGCAGCTGTTAGCTTTGTTAATCATTACAAGTTTTGAACTTTCACAGTAACAAAAGAACAGTATTAGTTTGATTAAGACAATCTAGTTGTGGTTATTCAATGTCATTTCTATACAAAATTGGTGTTGTTTCATCCCAGCTGTTTTGTCTTCTACACTGTTTCATCTCAACTCACTTCAATGCCATTTACTCCCATTGCCATTTTCTCCCAATGCTATTTCGTTGTTTTTCTCCTAATGACATTTCTCTTCAATGATATTTCTTCTCATCTCAATGCGATTTCATCCCAATGCTATTTTTTCCTATTGCCGTTTCATCTCTATGCCATTTCGTCCTCATGTTTTTTTTGTTCCAATGACATTTCTTTCCAGTAATATTTCGTTTAAATTCCGTTTTATCTCAATAATTTTGAACATGTTTTTAAACGAACGAAATGTCACTGGAATAAAATGCTGTTGAGACAGCATGTTGTTGGGACAAAACAGCATTGGGACAGCAGATACTGGTACCTTACCAAAAGCAAGTAAATCAATTGAGGTAACCAATCTTGTTTCCATGAAAAGTGATTTCCCCATAAGATTTACTCGGCCAGCCATTTTGCATTGCATAAAATAAATACAATTTAAAAAAATATTTATTCTCAAATAGTTCATTTCAGGAAATAATTTAGTAAAATTTCAGAATTTTATTTTTAGAAAAGTGAATTACCCACCACCATCATTAAACACGCCACAACAATGTAAAATACCATAAATTAAAGTATTGTCGTTTACTAATTAAAATAAACTAAAATATAATTTTGTATTTTGTAGCCTAAAGATACGGTTGCAAACAGACTACAGATTTTCAAACCGGAATCTACACATGAACAGCAAAAGAATGAAATCAACAAGAAACCAACTGCTGGCCGAAAAACATGGGTTGCACCAAAGACTGAAAACTGTATCATTTGTGGGAATCGCGTTTACATGACGGAAATGGTGAAAGCAGAGGGTCGTGTTTTCCACAAATCTTGCCAGAAATGCACTGTATGTAATCGTACACTGATGATAGGTAATCTTATTCTGATACAGAACTCAATATACTGTAGGATGCATGGTGCAGAGATCAAAGCAAAACAGTTAGATATCAGATCAGAAATAGAATGAATGAACAGGTGTCAAAGGTCAAAGTAACCATGTAAAGTCAAAGGTCAGACCTTTTAATCTGTAATATATATATATTTTTTTTTTACTACAAAATTTGTACATGCTTAAATAAATGCAATAGTGTAAATTCAGTATGGTGTTTTGGACATCAGTTTAGCAAGCTTGTGTTTATACCTGTTTGCTTGACAACCAATAATTGTGATGCAAATGTGTAATTGGGGGCCTTGACTACATGAATAATGTATTATTAGTTTGGGGCCCTAACTATGAATATACATAGTGTGTCACATGTAATTTGGACCTAAAATGTGAATAATGTAAAACACATGTGCTTGGACACTTAAATGTACTAAGTAGTCATGTTTGGTAAATGAGATGAGCCGTTAACCATTTTAATCGTGTCATGTAATTTCTGTCTCTGTAGACATTTGCTAAATTATTCTAAGTAAAACTTTTTTTTTTTAATCAAGACGCACAAAAAAACAGATCACACAAAGATTAGTGTATTCTAACTCATCACAAAGTACACTTCACATACTCGACTGTTTGATGGTCTTCCATCATGCAGTATACTGGTACTTCATATGTCTGATATTTAAAGAGCGCCCTCATTTATTTCTCTTTATTCCCCTATAGAGGGCGTTATTTCAAGTGTGTCATCTACAATTAATGGTTGCCAAATTGTGAATGTAACATGTATATTGCCATATAATGAAATTCATAATATAAGTTGTATTAGTCCATACATGGTACAGATCTCTGTAAATATAACTGGAATTTTTTTTATAATTACCGGTATTATATAGGTATTAAAGGTGGAAGAAATCACATCATCATGTCATAGGTTTTGGTAATCAGTCAGCAAAATGTTGTTGGATATCTTAATTTATTTTTAAATTTTTAGTTCTTATCGTTATTTGCCAAAATATTGTACATTTGGTGTGCCAAATGCTGTTGCTTTTCCTTCAGCTCATGCAGCTCCTTCAGCTCACTTTTAAATATTTTTAAAATAAAATAAAAATAAAATAACGTACACTCGGGCAACTTTCTGTTTTTTTCTAAAGTTACTCACATTGCTAAAAGCATAATTTGAAATAATCTTTAAAAAAAAATTATGAAATTTCCTTCTATACAAAATATATATTTAATTCTATAATACGTAGCATAACATTTTTAAAATAAATTAATTTGTCGGAAATTACAAACATGAATCTACGCATTAATAATTGTACTTGAGTGTAACATTTCCCATCAAAATGATATTTGTGCAAAAGTAAGGATGACAGGGTTCTGATGTTTAATAGTAATGCTGCCAAAATATAACCGATCATATTTCTAAAAAGTGTTATCTGGTTTTGCAGATTGACTTGACTAATAGCCATACAGATTGCTTCTCAGTATTCTACTTTGTAATGGTGGATGTGATTGGTTGATTAAGTTTTTGTAAATCCAATAACGATTGGTTCTTTCAAATTTATATCTAAATTTATAAGTGAGATAACTGTTTATTCAGGGGGGATTATAAATATTTCAGTACTGTGAGAAATATTGATAATTTTGTCTTAAAAGGAGTTATTTTTGTTATTGAGGTGTACACGTGTCAAATGTCAACAAAACACGACAATTAAGTTGAATGCCATCTTCTGAGATCATTATAAGTAAAATCTTTCTCATCATCTATTGATCTTGTTTTGTGCAAGTGTAAGACCAAATACTGTATTCCACAGGCTCAGTTTTCTTCACCACATTTTAATGTTTGTATTGTTTGTATTATTCAGTCAACCTTTGGTTTTTTGGTCATTTTGAGATGGGAGAAGCAATTCTACTACAAAGATGGTTTCTACAATATACTGGGGAGAGTATAAAATTATCATTGACAACTAAAAAAATGTTTTTATTTCAAAATGATTTGTGTATTTTTCTATTTTCTGATGTACTGGTGATTCACCCAGTTTCAACATTTTTAGCATATGTGCTATTCCAGTGTAGGACT